CAACCACTAAATGATTTCACTCATATGTGGAGTATAAGAACTGAAGGAACAAAACAGCAGCAGAATCACAGAACCCAAGAATGTACTAACAGTTAACAAAGGGAAAGGGACTGGGAAGGATGGGTGGGAAGGAAGGGATAAGGGTGGGGAAAAAGAGAGGGGGCCTTACGATTAGCATGTATAATGTGGGGGTGGGCATAGGGAGGGCTGTGCAACACAGAGAAGACAAGTAGTGATTCTACAGCATCTTACTACGCTGATGGACAGTGACTGTAATGGGGTTTGTGGGGGGGACTTGCTGAAGGGGAGAGTCTAGTAAACAAAATGTTCTTCATGTAATTGTAGATTAATGATAACAAAATGAATTAAAAAAAACATTAAAACAGAATTTCACTCAGGTGTATACCCAAAAGAAAGGAAACCATATACCCACATAATACTTGTACATGAATGTTCATAGCAGTTATTCATAACAGTCAAAAAGCAGAAATAACCCAAATGTCCAGCAACTGATATACAAATAAAACATGCATATTCATACATTGGAATATTATCAGTAATGAAATACATATATGCTATAACATGGCTGAATCTTGAAAACATGCTAAGTGAAGGAAGCCAGTCATTAAAGACCACATACCATATGATTCTATTTATATAAAATACCTAGAAAAGGTGAGTCCATGGAGACAGAAACATTAGTAGTTGCTTATGGCTGGTGGGGAGTCTGGCGACTGGAATTAACTAGTGATGGGCAGGGAGCTTCTTTTAGGGGGCTGAAAATGTTCTAAAATTAGATGATGATGATTGCACAAATTTGTGAATGTACTAAAAAACACTGAATTGCACACTTTGAATCTAATGGTATGTGAATTATCTCAAAAAGCTTTTCATAAGGCAAATGCTGAAAACAGGTATATACAGACAATCATGGAAGGAAAAGAAGATGCAGAAATGAAGTTATTTTATTCTAATTGTTAATTATAAATAGAAAAATGAAAATGCCTTACAACTATGTAGCTAAGACAGCCATCGTCCCAATGAAAACTATTTGCTGTCAGTTTTCAATTAATTCAAGTATTGCATTTTGATGATGCCAATACAAGAACCAGAAACTAGTAAGGCAGATCCTACTAGAGATATATTTGAAATCTAAAATCAGCATTTACAAGATCAATGTTCCAGATTCATACATGACAACTAATGTATAGTTTGTTAAATTCAGAAGACATGCCTTGTCTGGTACACATCAATACTATGAAAATATGAAATAAATATTTTCTCATTTAAAATTCCAAAAAAGTTACTTGCTATCCTTTTCTTTTTGTTCAGTAAATTATTCAAAAAGTGACTTAGAAGCATTTTTCAAAAAAATGGATTCATTGTGGACAGATCGTAAATGGTGTTACTATTTTTCCTAGTATATTGAATATAGACACTGGCTGAGACTGTTCCTTGCTTTTGGATATTTTTGACTTATGTTCACAGCTTGACTCCTCTGGCTTTTCATGATTTTGTCTTTCCCAAATCCAGGCATAATAAAACGATTAACATCTTTTACACCTAAGTTCTTTAGTTTTCCTTCATCTTATCGAAGAAATGATGATAGGTAAAATTAAGCTTGCTTGACAGTGTCCAAATTTTATTTAATTCAGAACCATTTTTAGAGGTCTTTTTAAAAATTCAAACTTAAAAAAACTTATAAATCAAGAATTCATACTTCCTAGGTTAAATTACACTAAATAAAATTTGTTAATAAGTATTTCAATGATTCTTAGTCCATTCAAGCTGCTCTAACAAAATACCAGACTGGGTACTTTATAATCAACAGAAATTTGTTTCTCACAGTCCTGGAGGCCAGAAGTCCAAGATCAGGGTCCCAACATGGTTAGGTAAGGGCCATCTTTCAGGTAAGACTTATCCATGGGCATTAATCTCATTCACAAAAGCTCTGCCCTCCTGACCTAATCACCTCCCAAAGGCCCCACCTCCTAGTACCATCACATTGGGCATTGGGATTTCAACATAGGAATTTTGTGGAGACATACACATTCAGACCATAGCAAATGACTATTAGGTTTCAGGTACAAAAAAACTTCCTCATGTTCAAGATCGATACAATAATTGTCTACAAAAAAGATATACTTTACAGGATAAATTACAGGCTTAGAGCACTGTCACTGTCCATAAGTTTGTAGTCTCATAATAGTACACAATAAATCTTATAAATGAATTGTCCTATTGTGGTATAAACCCTTCAGTAGTGGATATGACTCTTTCCATTCTACAAAAACATTGTAACCGCCTCAATCTTCAGCAAATTTAGTCTTCTGGAAGAGACATCAGAAAAAAATTTGCCCTCCATGACAAATTATTTTGTCAGATACTGTACATGGCAGTAAAGCTCCAAGAATGATTCATAATCATGTTTCTCAACAGCAAATATCTTCTCCAGACAGCTGGATAACCACTCCATCAGGAGATTAATTTAAACCATGGTTCTCATGGATCCTCCAGAAGCTATTTTTGGAGGAAGACTATTAATCAAGACCCTCAATTGAAGCAGATGACAACAGAAAGTGGACAACTTCTGCCCAAAGCAAAATGACACAGTCTTTTATTTTCTCTTGGCAAGCCAAGGGCAATTTGTATTTAGTTAACATTGTATCTCTATAAAGATTCCTAGACAGGCAGACCAGTCTATTAGGCAGAAGGCTGAAGAAAGATCAGAACTGAGAATTGAAAAGAGAAACTACAATTTGTAAAAACTGGCATAAAGTCTACCAAACTTTGATAACACAAGAAATTATCTAAGCTCAAACTCAATGCTAGGTCAATTAGATGCATGTTTCAGATCACAGACTGATCTAATGCTAATTCTGCATAGGTTCATATGTCATAAAGACACTGGCTGTATCCACAACTCTCTAGTTTCCAAGTTTTCACCAATCCATGCCAAAACAACCCAAAATTAACTCCAGGCCCCAAACTCCTTTATATACCCTTTCTTTGGAGATACCCACAGCTCCTACTGTATATACTCCCTTAGTGCAGCAAGCTAGGTATTATATATAATAGCTTTGTTTTCATATACAAAGGTCATGAAGCCTATATTCCATACACAAATGCCTAACAGAATATTAAATAAAACCTATCACAGTCATGGTAATTTTATTAAACAAATAAAAATGTATGAATTTGAAGATATAAAGCTGACAGCCAATCTGTTAATTGAAAAACTTATCTTTAGAAATACTAACTGCAAATTATTTCTCCATATGTAAAAATGTATATTTGATATCTTTTTCAAAAAGTTCACCACATTTTTGATATAGTTGATTTTAAGTTAACTCCCCTAGGAAACCACCATAAAAATAAAAGATTATAAATCCAACGACATTTGGCACATTGTTGTTGTGAGTACACTTTATTTTTAAGTAAAAAAAGGAATTATAGCCAAAACAAAATGTTTTGCCCTTTGAATATTTTAAGCTTAAGGAAGAAAAAGTCATTAATAAGGAACATATTTGCATTTTTCAGTGTTTTTTTAATTTTTTGTAAAGATTTCAATTAAGCTTCACAGTCAAAAAGCAGCTTCTAAACTTAAGTTTCATCCTTTTGACTTCATGCTTTTAAATGGAGTCATTTCTCTTCAAAACATGACAAATTTCAGAATCCATAAAAATTATTTTATTCAAATTATGTTTTCCAAAAGAGAGGGTTCTGTGCTAGTCGTCTTTGAAAGTTTTCATACCTACAAAAGAAAAACATATTTACAAGAAAATTGAAATAGGATCTTTCATAATCTGCTAAATTACTTACCAGAAAGCAGACAACTTCACATGTCATTTCTCAAAAGCTAAGATAAAAAGACCTAAAAAGCTAAAAAGTTAATCTGGAAGTTTACTCTTATAAAAAGATAGCATGACGATTTAAGTATGACTGGCTTGTATCAGAATACAAATCATAATAAATTTTATTAATTGTTTATCTTCTGCAAGTCTGAGAGCTAAAAGGGTAATACTTTTTAATGGCTCATATCCACAAGGAAAAATCAAATCTAACTTGTCCCTCATTTCATAGATGAGTAGATGAGAATAATTTGCTCAAGGTCACATAGCTACATCAAACAAAACTAAACCTACTATATATCAGTGCTATCCAGGCTACACCATGCTACCACTTCTCAAACTCTGTGTATCCCCTAACCGCTGGGGTATTCAAGTGAAAAGAAATACCTAAAAACAGAAACATGGGAAAGCTGCGGAAACAGATTTATTAATCATTCATGTACAGGGTGCAATATAAACTACCCTGATATCTTAAACATGTTTAACTTTAGATAAAGACTTTCTAAACTTAACAAAAAAAATTTTTGCTTGATATTTCAAGCCTCCTATATAGTACTTATGAATATTTAAAATTTTACAATCCTTAATTGTGGTCCCTAAAACAAAGGCAACTGTATTTTCCTGTCTTTATAAATTCAAAAAATGGCCACAATATAACAGATTTTAGGTGAGAATCACTCCTGATCTAACACCAAATAATACTTTTTAATGACATGCAAATATTAATAAGTGCTGATGCCCACAATAACTGAGTACATTTATATGTCAAAGAAGAAATACATTCACAGGCAAAAATTATATTTAGTTACTAAAAAAGCCTTACTATTAGAGATACAAAATTTCCCGTACCATTTCAAAACCACATTTGCAGGAATGAACATTTCAGACGGACTTGGTGTCATCTGGGCCTGAGAAACAGCAAATGATGAAGCAAAATTGTAGAAGTTGTCCAGCATCTTTTGTGTGAACTGAAAAATTAATAATGAATAGATTAATGGATTATAATAAATTCTCCATGTAGACCTTGTATTTTTAACTAAAAATGATGCCAAATTAAGTAGGTGATAATATGGGTAAATGTAGTAACCACATTGTTTTTTCATGTGAAACCTTCATAAGAGTGTATATCGATAATACCTCAATAAAAATTTGAAGAAAAAATAATATCAAGGTAATTTAAGACAAGAGACTATCATTAGGTATTTGAACTAATATCAGAGTTTAGTAAGATCACTAAAAGATAAATTTCAGGGAGAAACAGAATCAACAGTAACCCCCCACACTAGCAACAAAAATTTTCAAACAACTTTAAAAAGATCAAATTCAGAACAGAAACAAATTCTGTAAGGTACTTAGGAAAAATGTTGAGGTTAGCTGATAACAACTTTTTGTAGAAAATATTTTAAGACTGTGTGGAGAGAGAGGGAAGACAACAAATGAACGGACCTATACACCATGTTCAGTGGGAAGATACAATGTGTTCATGGGTAGGGCAGAGGAGTAAGGCTTAATGTGGCAATGGCAACAATTCTCCCCAAATTAAACCTATAAATCCACTGTCATATCCAACTAATTTCCAAGGAGGTTTTTCATGGAACTTGACAAGCTGATGCTAAAATTATGATGAAGCATACCTAAGCCTATTTTGATGGCTGGGAAGAGGGACCTGGCCTAGTAGGTATTAAGACTTCTACTGGCAAAGGGACAGGCAAATAAACTACTTGGAACAGAAGAGAGCACCCAGAAACAACCCGAAGCACATGTGACAACATGACATACAACAAAGATGCTGTTACTCAGAGTGAAAAAAAACAACAACAAAAAAAATGGGCCAGTTATTCAACTAATGGGGCTAAAACAATTAGTTTTCCACAGGGAAAAATTAATTTAATTCCTTTCCCAAACCACACATAAACAAAATTGAAAAAGCAAGACATTAAAGTTTTAAGAACTATAAAAGAATGTAACATCTTCATGTGTCAGAGTAGGGAAGGATTTCTCAAATACAAAAACCCACAAATCAGAAAGGAAAGAATTGATAAACCTGTCAATGTAAAAATACAGTATGTCTTTATGCAAAAAAAGGCACTATAAATAATATTAAAAGACAAACAACATGTTGGGAAAATAAATTTGCAACATATATATAACAAAGGATCACTGATCAGAAAACAGTAAAAAAAAATTGGATAAAATATACAGTCAATTCTTATTAAAAAAATACAAATACAAGGCCAAAATTTGAAAAGTGCTCAACTTCACTTGCAATCAAAAAATACAAAGAAAAACAATAGTGATATTCTATTTCACCCATCAGTTTGGCAAAAATCTAAGGTTTGATAAATACTAGTGAGAATGTATGAACATCTATCAATATAGAAATGAAAAAAAATCCAAAACTGAGGCTCATTCATACAATGGCATACAATTAAAATAAACTATATCTATTCCATGTATCAACATAGATAAATCTCTAAAATTTTTTGAGTGAACAATAGCACGTTGTAGAATTTATATAGTATACCATTTATATCTATTTTTAAAACATACAAAAGAATAAGTTAACAAGAAGGAAAAACAGAGGAACCAGAAAACAAGGAATTCAAAACAGAAGAGTAATAAAAGGAATTTCTACAGTAATGGTAAAAGAAAATAATACCTTGACTATAGCTATGCAACATACTCAGAGAATAATCAGTCCACAGTAAAACAAAAGATTTCCAAGTTTCCAAGAAAAATTTAAAATTGCTATATTTAAATATATTGATGGGAATTTACACTTGGCAGAATTTGGGCATAAATAAGAAATGGAAACAGAAATCCATGCAAAGGAAAAAATGAAACATTTATTAACCAGGAAAAATGAAAAGTTATACAAGAAAAGAAATGTAATCATAGTACTACACAGGGGTCAGTTCTGAAAAATATTTACCTGGTCATAATAGTAACAACTGAGTATTAATTTAACAAAAATCTGTGCTGAACGGTGGGAAGAAAAGACCTCTCTGTACACGGGGGAGCAGGGAGAGTAAGAGAGCTCAATCATGTTATGTATCGGTAAGTCGATGGAAAAATACCTACAACAGATAAAGAACGATCATACTAAACAAGTTTTTTCTGACACATGGCAGTAAATAAAGGAAGAAATAGTTTTTAAAAAATGAGAAGAGGTTGAAAGTGATTGCTTCTGAGGAGGAAAGTTAGAACAGAATAAAGAGGTATAGGATAGCTGTTTTGCATGTAAAACTTTGACTTTTTAAGCCATGTACATGTCCTACTGATAAAATCTAAAATGAGAGTAACTAAGAGTAAAAATCTGAAACATGTTTAAACACACAAATAGTATTGTACATATTTTGTGGGCATATATGAATGTTTTTCTTAAAGTGCTAAAATATATGGATAGGAAAGATATATAAAGTTAGAAGAGTAGCTACATGGAGAGGAAAGAAGAAAACCACATCAGTGGACTATACCTGTAATACTTTATTTATTTACTTTTTATTAGTAGCAAATATGGCAAAACATAACAGTTAAATCTAGGTGGAAGACACATGGAAGTCTTTGTATATACCCCTACAATGATAGCTCTATAAGGACAAGTATTATTTTGTCAACCTATTTTTATCTATGTGCTTAGAAAATGCCGGTACACAGTAGATATACAATATTTGTGGAATGTACTTTTGTGTATATTTAAAATATTTAATAATATGTTTAATAAAAAATAGATATGCTCTATAAAAAAGGCTAAATAATTTATAGAGAGTAAATTCTTGATCCCCTCCAAGGATAACTTTGGTATGAATTTCCCAGGCATTTTTCTAATACCGTCTTTACTATAAGTGCTGCCCAGCAAACCCATAAGGTTTTCCTAGTCCATTCACCCTCTTCCTCTCCCAGAGGACTTATTTAATAATCCTTTGTATTTAAATTTCCAATACTTCCTTTCCCCTCAGCTCAGATTGATTTTTAAATTGCCATTATTTCTGTAAAAAGCATGCCATATTTTACTAAATGTCCCTATTTCACTGAGCAAAGAGAAGGAAGCAAGAGAGAACTGGCACATGTTCTGTACCCATATATTCATTACTATCAATACTACCCATTATTCCAATACGCTTCCATTCCCTAGTCAAGGACACCACTTCAGCAATGCTCCCTGCTCTCCTGCATTATTAATTTTCTCTCTAATGCTTCATTCCTGTCAGTCAAACATGATGTATGTCTCATTAAAAACAGGAAAATAAAATTCCTTGTCCCCACAGCCCCCTCAGGAACCAAACCATTTATTGCTGTCCTTTATAACAACACTCAGTGGGAGTCACCTATATTCACTGTTTCCATTTCCTCCTTTGTAATTACTTAAACTCAAACTCCGCTTCTACCTTTCTGATCTCTTGACAGTTTTAATGATGTCTACCTTGCTGAATCCAGTGGTTAGTTCTCAGTCCTCATCTAACTTGAACCATCAGCAGTGTGATACTATTGGTTACGTCTTCCTTCTTAATAACCAGTCTTTGCTTGGTTTCAGAGCCACCACCTCTTGGGTCTCCTCCTACCTCAGGCTCCTCCTTTCCTTTAATTTCTGCTCATCTCTTAAGCTTCTCAACTTTGAAATGGCCCTGAACTCAGTCACTGGCCAAATTTTCTATTTATAGTTCTCCAGTGATCACAACCCCTCCAAAACTTTAAATACTATCTCTACACTGATGACTCCCACATTTTTTTCTCTACCCCAGTCCTCTCTTGAATTCTAGACTTGTTATCTCCAGTTGGCTGTCCAGTAGGCATCCCACAGCATGACCAGAATTCAACTCCTGATTCCACTCCCAGCCTGTACTTGCTCTTTTCACAATATTCCTGTGTTCCACAATATTCCAGTTCCTCAAGCCACATCCTGGGGGGCCTGAGTCGATGTCTCTCTTGTCTCAGATCTTCCATGTGATCCATACTGTCTCCATCTTCAAATTATCTCCAGAAATCAACTACTTTTCATCACTTCCACTTCTACCTCTCCACAGTTCCCTCACTCAAGTCATTATTGTCCCTCATCTGGATTTTCACAAGAGCCTCCTGATCTTCCTCCTTCCATCTTTGCCCCACTAGTTTCTCTCCCAAGATGCAAAACAGATCCTTTTAAATTGTTAGATAATCTTACTCTTCTGCTCAAAACTCTGTTTTCTCTTCTAAGCAGAATATAAGCCAAAGCTCTTCTAAAAGCCAGTGCAATCCCATATGATTTTATCATGCAGCCACCTCCCCCATAATCTGTAACCTCATCTTCCAATTCTCACCCCTGTTCATTCCACTCCAGGCAAAGACCTTCATGTTATTCTTCAAACATAACAGATGTCTACCTTAGGGCCTTTGCACCAGCTGTGCCTCTACCTAAATCATTCTCCCCTTCAGGCCTTTGCCATAACAGAGGTTAAAAGTCAAGCCTTATAGAATTATGTCACTTTAAGCACTGTGAAGACAAGGATCTTGATTATCAGGTTCACAACTCCATACACATAGCCTAGCACACTAACTGGGGGAGGGAAAGAGGAAACACTGATACTTAAAACCATTTTTAAAAAACACTTTGAGTATTTTATCACTATACAAACAATTCTTACCAAAGCATTTATAAATTTAAAAATAACTGTAAAAGAAAGGAAACATAAAATATCCACGGAATAACTAGTTGTCAACTTATGTCATGTATGTTTACCATCATTTTTACATGTTCTCTACCATCAAGCTGATTTTGAAGGTATAGAATATGATTTTTCAATTTTTTAGAAAATAATGAGATTTTTTCATTGCATTACCTGAGTGAATGAGTCAACTGAGGACACAGCAGCATTACCTACAGGGGTTTGCTGAGCCAGACTGTCCAATAATTCCACTGAAATTCCAATCTGAGCAACAGATGGAGTTCGGACAATATTCATGGCTCCAAAAGGGTGCTGGCTTCCTTCTCCTGAAAGAAATTAACAGGTGCCATGTGAATTTCAAGTTTTACTTGTATCCATATAAATACATGAAAACCTCTGATTTATATGCACTAAAAAGTTCTGGTACATGAAAGTTTGTCTCTTTTCAGATAAGTGTAAAAGGCTACTAAGCTTTTACCATATTAACAAATAATAAGAAAACTAAAACTTTCCCCACCAGAAAATAGCTGTTACTTCTCTAAGCTTATTAAAGTTACTAATACCTGGAAGTGGAAATTAGCAGAATGAGAGAAAAATAAATGAATGAGAATTAATTTGATAAAAGATTCTCAATGCTAACTCTGAGGGAAGGATTTTTAAAGTTAAAATTTTTAACATTTTTAGAATTAGTTTTAACATTTTCTGATAATTCTGCTAAAGATTTTTAAATTGCCATTATTTCTGGTAAAAAGCATGCCATATTTTACTAAATGTCGTGAATCACCCTACTTGACACTTGATACTGTTATCAAATAGGCAATAAAGAAATTTGCAGCTTATTCACAGAATATATTTAATAACTTTCCCCATTCATTAAAAAAGAATCATCACATACATATCTGAGACTGTAAGTGCCACCTAACTTACATGTGGAAAATACAGGCCAATTTTATTAATCTATGTAAGACATAATCTGAAGTCAATCTGATGAAGGAAAAAGAAATTCATACAATGAGTAGATTTTTGGATTAACTGTTTTTATGTAAGACTATAAAATGTTTAATCAAATACTGATAAATAAAAATATATAGGAAAATACACATTCCTAATAACTAGAATATTCATTGCAAGTGTCCAAATTTTTTTATTTTCAAGCATATGAAAACTTACAAATGAATTTTTCTATACTTTAAAAACACACATACATGCATCACTAAGTATGATTAGTTTCAGATAATTTCAGTATTTTTTAATTGTTTTAATTTCCACGTATTTGTGAATTTTCCAAATTTATTTCCACTATTTCTATTTTCTATCAATATGGTCAGAAAACGTATGTTATATTTCAGTCTTTTAAAATATCCTGAGATGTATTTTGTGGCCAAACATAAGATTTACCCAAGGAAATGTCCCATATGGACTCGGGAAGAATGTATATTTTGTTGTTAGGTAGAATGTTCAATGTAAGTCTGTTAGGTCTACTTGGTTTATACTGTTCAGGTCTTCTATTTCTTTGATGATCTGCTCATTACTGAAAGTAGGGCATTATAGTTTCCCACTATCATTACTGAATTGTTTCTCCCTCCAGTTCTCTCCGTTTTTGCTTCGTTTATTTTGAGGCTCTGCTGTTAGGCACACAAAAGTTTGTAATTTTTATATCTTTTTGACGGATTGACCCTTTTATCTTATAATGTCCTTTCTCTCTCATAATTGTTGTCTAAAGTCTATTTAGTCTTATTTTATTAGCCATTCCAGCTCTCTTTTGGTTACCATTTGCATTTATCTTTTTTTATCCTTTACTTTCAACCAATTTGTAACTTCAAATCAATAGTTGGATCATGCATTTGTATCCATTCGGCAAATCTCTGCCTTTTAATTGGAGAGTTTAATTTTGTGTTAAATAGATGCTTGCTAATGTATATTTTAATTCTCATCAATTCTTTTACTATAAATATTTTGTTATTAGTGGTTGTACTGGGGATTACAATTAAATCTTATTTGTAACAACCTAGTTTGAATTAATACCAATTTCGGTAGTATACAGAAGCCTTGCTCCAGCATAAATTCTCTCCCTTATATTGTTATTACTACAAATTACATCTGTATACATAATATGTTCATAAATCACTATTTATGGTTTTTGTTTTATGCAGTTGTCTTTTATATCAGACAGGATAAAAAGAGTTACAAACACTGACTTTTATAATTACCTATTTAATATTACAATTACCAATGCCTTTACCTGTGTTCTTTTTTTCTTCATGTCAATTCTTATTACTGTCTCATGCCCTCTATTTCAGCCTGAAGGGCTGCCTTTAGCATTTCTTGTAGAGTAAGCCTTCTAGCAATGACTCTCAGTTTTTGATTATCTAGGAATGTCTTCTTTTTTGGTAGTTTTGATGGAGAGTTCTTGATTGGTTCCTTTTTTCTTTCAGTACTTTATGCTGTCCTACTACTTTCTAGCCCCCATTGTTTCTGATGAGAAATCAGCTGTTTTGTTAAGGATTCTTGTATGTGATGAGATTCTTCTCTTGCCACTTTCAAGATTCCCTGTCTTTGACTATTTGTCTTGACGTGGAATTTATCCCACTTGGAGTTTGCTGAGCTTAAGTGTGTATATTAATAGTTTTCATCAAATTTAGAAAGTTTTGGAGCATTATTTCTTCAAGTATTCTTTCCATTCCTATTATGCATATGTTGGTACACTTGACAGTGTCTCCTAGGTCTCTAAGGCTCTGTTCATTCTTCTGCATTCTTTCTGCCCCACAAATTAGATATGTCAATTGCCTATCTTCAAGTTTGCTGATTCTTTTTCTGCCTACTTAAATGTGCTATTGAAACCCTCTAATCAACTTTTCATTTCAGTTACTGTATTTTTTTTAGCTCAGTCTCATATGTTTAGTTCCTTTTTATAATTTTTCTATTGATATTCTCTACTTGATGATTCATCATTCTCTTGATTTCCCTTACTTCTTTAAGCATATCTGAGACAGTTTACTTTGTCTTTGACAATTAAGTCCAAAGTCTATGCTTCCTGGGGAGTTTTTCTTCATTTCTTCTGTGAAAGGGCCTTATTCTTGTTTCTTTGCATGCTTCATAACTTTTTGTTGAAAACTGGACATTGAATATTACAATATAGAAAATCTAGCAATGTTTTCCCCCTCCTCAAGGTTTACTGTTACTTTTGTTGCAGTTGCTTCCTTGTTTAATGACTTTTTCTGAATATTGTGAAGTCTCACTTTTTCTGCCATGTATGACTACTGAAGTCTCCATTCTATTAGCTTACTGGTCAGCCAGTGATTGAAAAGAGATTTACTTAAAGGCCTAGAATCAAAAAATTTTTCCCAGTCTTTGCATGTGTGTTGTGTGTGGGGACATGCCTTCCATACTCAGCCAGGCAGTTTACAACACTGCCTTAGCCTTTACTTCCTGCTTATGCAGAGCCTCAGAGTCAGCCAGAGGTGAGAGCTTAGGAACTTGGTGGGTCTTCCCTGAGCATGTGTACAGCCCTGGGCACATGTGCTCTTTTAGATTCTCAGGAATTTCTAGGTTAGAGAATTCAAAACCCTTATTCCCCAAAGTATCACCTCAGGCAGCAGTGACAAATACATATCTGCCCACATTTTTGACAAACAGTCCCAGGTTCATCACTTTAGCACTGGAAAAGTTCCAAGGCAGGTGAGAGAAAGGCAAATCTTTTGAATCAAGTCTTCCAGAGAGCCACCAGACATGTCAAAACAAGGTCATTACAGTTTGTTGTGAATGAGGTCCATTCTGCTCCCTCTGTTACCCATGCCAAGAGCATGGGCCGTTATTCTCAGGCTACCACTGACCAGGGTAAGTTAAAATGCCACAAGCCTCACTGTTCTTACTGAGATTCAGTGTTTTTTCCTGATTAAATGTTCCTTTGGTTGCTACAAGCTTTTGGTTAGTTTACAGTCCTCAAAAAGCTGATTCAGACAGTTTTTGTCAATTTTGTTGCTTTTGTGGAGGAATTGACTTTAAAGCTCCTTACTCCATCATTTTAATTGTTTCAAATGTACAACTAAGTCCAGAAAACACAATGCTATTTATCTGCGTAACAGGCTGCAATAATCTAAATAAAGGAAAAATGTTTAATACAACCTTCTAATGCCTTAGTTATAACCACCACCCAGGGAGTGATCTGCCCAAGCAGAAAGCCTTGTCATCTCTAATCACCATCTTTTATCATACACATGCTCTTGGCAAATAAGTGATACCCCTAAGTGAAACTGGCTAAGATTCACTGTAAGAGGTGGGACAAAGGAACTATTTCAACTTCTTCATTTTAAAGTTCTCTAGAATTAAGACAACTTAAGAGAGAGAAAAAGACTCAAAATTATTCAGCAATCTTTATATATTCAAAGAGATCCATCATGCAATTAAATCATTTCTTTAGTCACTCATTCTCAAAATGGCCTTGACATGGCAGTTGATACCTCCAAGTACAAAGATTTTTGCTTGTAAACAATAAAATAAAATACTGAGAAGAAACACTGGAACATAATATACAAAATCACAGTTATTGTTTAATTTTGGATCGATCTTAATTCATGAGAGCAAAAGAAAAACAATCAGTTACAATGAGTCCTATCTTCAAAACCTAAAAAACAAAAACAGCAGAGAAAGCAAAGCATTCGACCTGGTCTTAAAAAGAATACATGATAAATTCCTCAATAATATTCCAGTAGTAAAATCAGTTGCAAATTTTTAAGGCTGTTTCTCAAAGTGTCCCTCTCCTTGATGTAAGTCAAGAGCCTAACACAAGGCACAACTAACTCAAAGGAAGAAATCCTATAGAAACTAGTCCTATACTATCAGAATACAAGAAAAAGCAGTTATCATTTACTATCTGGGTCTAATGGACTTAAAAAAAAGAAAAAAAATTTACACACACACACACACACATACATATACATATATATTTTTTAAATCGTTTGACCAAAATATTCAGAATAAAAAGATAGTGAAAAATGACTTCATTAGAATTTCTAGTAAGGAATGAAGTACAGCAAACCCATATATTCATTCCACATTTCCCACATTTTCCAAAATGGGCCACTTTCTCTGAATATAAGTGTTGATCACCTGTCATAGTTAAATGTGGAACATATCCATCTTATAAATGTGACACCTGATTTTTAAACATATCTCTAACAGGCTGGAGCTTATCTTACAAAAGATTACAAAAGTAATCTTCTAGTTCTTTTTCTGAAAATTGCACTGTCAAAATACAATAACTGAAACTTTGAAATTTTGAAACTTTTAAGGCTCATAATTAATTGAAGAAAGGATGGTCATCTTC